AACGAGTTCAAACAGGTGCAGTTAATACAGGTAATGAGTGGAGAACAGGAGGGCTTCTTAAAGAAAAACTAACAGGTTGTGAGAGCCGGAATTCTTACTGGTTGGTAGGTGATCAAATACTTATGTCTTGCAATAAAATGCAAATTAATTACTTAAAAATCATACAATGTAATTTTCTGGATTTTTGTTTTAGATTCCATCTCTCACAGTTGAAGTGTACCTATGATAAAAATTACAGACCTCTACATGCTTTGTAAGTAGGAAAACCTGCAAAATCGGCAGTGTATCAAATACTTGTTCTCCCCACTGTATATCTAGCCTAGCTGTAGAAGAACTCACATCTGCACAGTTTCACGTTGTACATCACTCTCTTGTTTAATGACGTGCCACTCATTCTGACAACACATTCATCCGTAAAGCAGCACACTGTCGTAAACCATAACAATGTACAGCACATCGTACCATACGTAACAAACATACTAACTCTAAGTCAGTCAGGAGCAAGCCAGGTAGAATTATTTAGGCTATATTATTATTATTATTATTATTATTATTTCTTCAAGGCTATAGCCTGCCATTTAAGAAATCAATTGTGAAGCATTTGTGACACTACAGGCTGGCAGGAGCGCTCAGCACTTCAACAACATGCATATACATTTTGCATTTACGCTCTATAATATTTATATATTTTTTTAAATAGTTACTTAGAACTAAATAATAATTAAACGAAAAATGCGTTATTAGGCTATACAGTCATTTTACAGTGCCTTTGAATTCACTTTTTGATACACGAGTTTGACCAGTCTTTGGTTTGAGGATCATGCGGTGAGCTATGCATGCCTAGTTTCTTAATTTAGTCTAGAAGATGCTCTTAAATTCCCATGCCCTAATCACAGTCAACACAAATCTATTTTGTAACAACATCATGGAACAAAATTAATTAGAAAATTATAGTTTCCCAAATAAATAAAAAGTGTATATTGGCCTACCTGATGATATGAGGCTACTGTGTTAAACAACAAACCCCTTTTTCTCGAATTCATTGATAATCAGATATTTCAGTTGTAACTGTTTCTGTTGGGCTACATTTTTACAGTTGATAGAAAACTTTAGCACTGTTCCAAACTTAGACTACCCTCTTTTTTAACAACAGCCTGTCTAGAAATCCAAATGTCTCCAGTACTGCTCTGTTGTGGTATTAAAAAATATTATGCTTGTCTCCAGTCAAGTGAAATTATGTAGAATTGCATGAAATGCATTCATAAAAGGCAAGTTTTTCGCAGACCGCAAATAAGATGATAGATTCATGCAGTGCTTTTATTACAATGGTTATCTTTTCACCCCTACCCTTGTCTGCAGTGGTCTGCGAACCCACAACCTTCTGGCTACTTTGCCATGTAATGCTTACAAAACGAAGAACAGTTTCTAAAACTGCATATATAAGGTTCTGGCCTGTCTTAGGAGTGAGGGTAAAAAGTAGGCATGTTCTCTGCTATCCACTTTATGCTTCAATTATTATTTTGGGTATAGGGGAGGGTCAAAATAAGCGTTCAGGGAGGGTAGGGTAAAAATATATTTTCCTGAAGGGCGGTCAGATTTTCTCCAGGTATTCCTCATTATAAATAATGTACAGTCCCTTAAAAGGCAGAATATTTTACAAAACATGAACAGTTTGACAGTCCTAAAAGCAGTCATTGATGTGGTAGCTATACTAAGTGAGTTTTGCAACCCTTTAGTCCAACTAAAGAGAGCTGGACCCAGAAGAGGCCTGTGAGAGAAAATCAGGCCAGAGCCAAGCCAGTCCTGCAGTACGTAGTGGAATCTGGGTCAGAGCTCGTTAACAGATTTCTGTTGTAGCCACACTCTCGCACTCGCTCTCTTACGCTCTCTTACTCACATTTACAAAGGAAAAACTAAACGTGTGGCAGTGTATAGAACCAGGAACGAGGTGAATGGGGTTAGAGAGAAAGAGCAGAACCCTCAGAGCAGGATGACACCAATGATCAAGAACTGCCTGCCTCCTGGTTAGGTGACATCAGGTAGAAAGTTCAGAAAAGGTTGGTAGCTCTGCAGGGCAGCTGACCATTAGGAAACTACAAAAACAAGTTGAGACTTTCTCACCTGATGTCCTTTTTTAGGTCAACCTTGCCATCACAGGGAACAATGACGTCTTTTCAACCACTTTTGCTCAATCAGATCTGAACCGTACCACCTCAATGTATTGATTAAAGGAAACTGAATGAATGGTGTGAAAACTCCTTCATACAATGCCTTTGTACATTTTTGAGTTTCAACCCCGACTGGCACAGGAGTCTATCTAGAAAACGAAACTCTCAATAACCGGTGTTGGGCAGAAAGTAGACAGATATTTTTATTTATTCCAATAGACATAGAATATTGCTGCTCCCCAGTGTTCCTGCACAACAAATATCTACAAACGTTTTGACTTTGGACACAGGAGTCTGGCATGATGAGCCTCCAGCCTGCACATCCTTAGACGAACTTCTGTATTTCCTGCGAACACATCACCGCTGTTCACACAATAAACCCCAGAGGTTGCCTTAAAGGAAAAATCCACCCAAATCTCTATAATTTACAGTGTTACATAAAACTAATATGTGTGAATCTTATTTTTTGTGAACAAAGGTTTCATTTTGTCGTTATAATAAGGTTGGTAGCAATGTGAAAATCGTTGTGGAAATCAGTTGCAGCTCAAGTCAACCACAAAACCCACAATGCAATGCTCTCTCTATGGGCAGGCTGGCTAGCTAGCTAGCTAGCTAGCTAACTAGCTAGCAAACAAGGCTACACACAATAATACCAAAGTCAATATCAGCATGTGAAGTAGTTAGCTGTAAAATCGCCTAAACCAACTGCACTATCAGTTTAAGAGTCTACAATCTCACCATGTTCAACCTGCAGATCGATGTGCCTCAGAGTAGAGTCTGACATTCGCAACGGCACCATGCAACGGCACCCTAGACTGAAGAGGCAGACAAATATGAGGAATGTGTTAGACCCTCTGTTAAATAAAAAATTTATCGAGGAAGGAAAATCGCAAAAAATATGATCAATGGCTAATTTGAGAGAAGACAACCTACCGCGTCATGACAACGGCCAGTATTGAAATCTGACATGTATGACAGACATTTTCGCCATCTAAAAGGCGTTTTCCTATTAACATCCAGTGTAGTGAGAGCGGCTTTACGTCATGCCAGGAGAATTTCTGCCTGCTTGAACGGTATGAAAACATGAATTGACCCAGGCAATCGACAGAACATCACTCAGAGATGCACAAAATCAATATAACATAAAAAATGGGTTAATCTTTACTTTAAGACATTTGGCCAATGTTTCCCCTTCCTTAACCTCTGCCGCATGCGTCCCCAACAACCGGACATTCCGGTTTTCAGGGGAAATGTAAAGAGAGCCTATGGACATTAACAATGTGACAATCCATCTTAACTCCTCCTCCACATTTACTGGATTGGTTGAACAGTGCAGAAGAGAACCTCCCCTTAAAGTTTGTTTTCTTCTCGTCAAGATTAGTATGGAGGGGATCTAGTTTCAGGCGTTTCTTTTACACCTGCTAGGTTAGGTTACCCCTTCCTCAACATTATCCATAAATTATCCATGGCCATGGAACCATAAAAGACAAAGACTCTGCCTCCCTCTGCCCCTAGAAAACGGGGTCAGCAGTAGTCCAACAGATGTGTTATTGTGGATTCAGATTTATGTACTGGTAGCCAGATCTGTTAGTTCTGTTTGTCGACAACATCAGGTCAACAAGTAGTCAGACAAAGGTCACAGGTGGTTGAGGATGAGAGCCGCATAGGGATATACTCCTTTAGATAAAGAGAATAAAAACAGAGTGATATACTGTATGTCAAGGAGGGAAAATGATTGGGGGGGAAATAAATAATAATAAATAAATATGCGTGGCCCCAGGTGGTTGGAATCTGCAACTTTCTCCTCTGTAACTCCCACTATCTATCTCCCTCCCTCCACTCCTTCATGCCTATCTAGGAGTAAACTATTTCTAAAGAGGGAGAATCAAACTTATTTTAGTGATTATTAGTAAGTGAGTTTATTTAGTAGAAATCACTTTAGCATCATCAGTCCCAAAAACATGGCTGAAAGTAACAGAGTAACAGAGTACGAAAATGTATGCACTCACTACTGTAAGTCGCTCTGGATAAGAGTGTCTGCTAAATGACTAAAATATAAATGTAACCTTCAGTGGTCCATCCATTCAGTCCTGTTTTAGATATTATGAATCTGATTATGAGACCTTATCAATGTATTTACACTTGTTCATGACACCAGGGAATATTGCACACCTGAGAGGCACTTCACTGTTTTATCCATTCATCTCTCATAAAGGCTGAATAGGGAGAAATGACTGTGTAGCACAGCTCTGAGACCATATAAGACATGATTCATCCTGTCCCAAATGTAAAGAGCAATATTATTTCCATTACCAATACACACATGAAACTTAAAAGGGGAAAAAGGTCAGAAATCGCAAGATGAGAGGGGCATGATTCAATTAATGACATCATACAAACAGATCTTCTCTGAGTCATAATAAATCAGTCTGAAAAAAATATAAAATGACACAGTTGGAGAGAAAGAGAGTAGAGTGCAGCCCTACTGTATATCTCTAGTCTAGTGTGTTCTGGTCATTAATATATTAGAAAAAGACAGAGGGGGTCAGAGAGAGAGAGGTAGCTGTGGAGAACAGTCTCATCATTCCATCTCATCCTCCTCTACTCCCATCATTTCCTCCTACAGTGCCCCCCCCCCCCCTACTCTCACTACTAGTTGGATGGTGGTGGCTGCTGTGGAGCTACTGAAAATGTAGAAGTTACCCCTTAGTGCAGGTCTTGGACCAGGTTTGTTGTTGTAACCCCTAGTGGTTAAGGTTAGCATTGTGATATGAAGCACTTATCCTAGACCAGCGCTAGGAAGGTAACCTCTGCCTAACCCCAGGTTCTACCTCACAGCTTGGCTTTGCCAGGCTGCAGCTGCAGACTCTGGAGCTTCATGGCCATTCCCATGTTCCCTGTGATCTTCAGCTTGCCCTGGAAGAATGCCTGAGGATCAGAAGAGAGAGTCAGTCATTAGAATCAGAACAGAGAAAGGGAGAAACTGGCTCTGACAGTAAATCTCAGTAAGACAAAAATAATGGTGTTCCAAAAAAGGTCCAGTTGTCAGGACCACAAATACAAATTCCATCTAGACACCGTAGCCCTAGAAAACAGAAAAAAATTATACATACAGTGCATTCGGAAAGTATTCAGACCCCTTAACTGTTTCCACATTTTATACCGTTACATCCTTATTCTAAAATGGATCAAATAGCTTGTTTCCCATCTCAATCTACACACAATACCCCATCATGAAAACGCAAATACAGGTTGAGAAACTTTTGAAAATGTATTACAAATAAAAAACGGATATATCACATTTACATAAGTATTCAGACCCTTTACTCAGTACTTTGTTGAAGCACCTTTGGCAGCGATTACAGCCTTGAGTCTTCTTTGGTATGACACTACAATCTTGGCACACCTGTATTTGGGGAGTTTCCCCCATTCTTCTATGCAGATCCTCTCAAGCTCTGTCAGGTTGGATGGGGAGCGTCGCTGCACAGCTATTTTCAGGTCTCTCCAGAGATGTTCGATCGGGTTCAAGTCCGGGCTCTGGCTGGGCCACTCAAGGACATTCAGAGACTTGTCCCGAAGCCACTCCTGCGTTGTATTGGCTGTATGCTTAGATTCGTTGTCCTGTTGGAAGGTGAGCCTTCGCCCCAGTATGAGGTCCTGAGCGCTCTAGAGCAGGTTTTCATCAAGGATCTCTTTACTTTGCTCCGTTCATCTTTCCCTCAATCCTGACTAGTCTCCTAGTCCCTGCCACTGAAAAACATCCCCACAGGATGATGCTGCCACCACCATGCTTCACCGTAGGGATGGTGCCAGGTTTCCTCCAGACGTGACTCTTGGCATTCAGGCCAAAGAGTTCAATCTTGGTTTCATCAGACCAGAGAATCTTGTTTCTCATGGTCTGAGAGTCCTTTAGGTGCCTTTTGGCAATCTCCAAGCGGGCTGTCATGTGCCTTTTACTGAGGAGTGGCTCCCGTCTGGCCACCCTACCGTAAAGGCCTGATTGGTGGAGTCCTACAGAGATGGTTGTCCTTCTGGGAGGTTCTCCCATCTCCACAGAGGAACTCTGGAGCTCTGTCAGCGGCCATCCGGTTCTTGGTCACCTCCCTGACCAAGGCCCTTCTCCCCGAATTGTCTGGCCGGGCGGCCAGCTCAAGGAAGAGTCTTGGTGGTTCCAAACTTCTTCCCTTTAAGAATGATGGAGGCCACTGTGTTCTTAGGGACCTTCAATGCTGCAGACATTTTTTGATACCCTTCCCCAGATCTTTGCCTCGACACAATCCTGTCTCGGAGCTCTACGGACAATTCCTTCGACCTCATGGCTTGGTTTTTGCTCTGACATGCACTGTCAACTGTGGGACCTTATATAGACAGGTGTGTGCCTTTCCAAATCATGTCCAATCAATAGAATTTACCACAGGTGGACTCCAAGTTGTAGAAATATCTCAAGGATGATCAATGGAAACAGGATGCACCTGAGCTCAGATTTGAGTCTCATAGCAAAGGGTCTGAATACTTGTGTAAAAAGCTATTTCTGTTTTATTTTTTATACATTTTCCCAAAAAAATTACAACCCGTTTTCGCTTTGTCATTATGGGTGTGTAGATTGATGAGGATTATTTCTTTTTAAATCCATTTTAGAATAAGGCTGTAACTTAACAAAATGGGAAGGGGTCTGAATACTTTCCGAATGCACTGTACCTCGGCCTAAACATCAGCGCCACAGGTAACTTCCACAAAGCTGTGAACGATCAGAGAGAAGGCAAGAAGGGCCTTCTACGCCATCAAAAGGAACATAAAATTCGACATACCAATTAGGATCTGGCTAAAATTACTTTAAATCAGTTATAGAACCCATTGCCCTTGTGAGGTCTGGGGTCAGTTCCCCAACCAAGAATTCACAAAATGGGACAAACACCAAATTGAGACTCTGCATACAGAATTCTACAAAAATATCCTCTGTGTATAAAGTAAAACACCAAATAATGCATGCAGAGCAGAATTAGGCCAATACCCGCTAATTATCAAAATCCAGAAAAGAAACGTTAAATTCGACAACCACCTAAAAGGAAGCGATTCCTAAACCTTCCATAACAAAGCCATCACCTACAGAGAGATTAACCTGGAGAAGAGTCCCCTAAGCAAGCTGGTCCTGGGGCTCTGTTCACAAACACAAAAATATCCCACAGAGCCCCAGGACAGCAACACAATTAGAATCAACCAAATCATGAGAAAACTAAAAGATAATTACTTGACACATTGGAAAGAAATAACCAAAAAACTGCGCAAACTAGAATGCTATTTGGCCCTAAACAGAGAGTACATAGTGGCAGAATACCTGACCACCGTGACTGACCCAAAATTAAGGAAAGCTTTGACTATGACCAGACTCAGTGAGCATAGCCTTGCTATTGAGAAGACAGGCTGTGCAAACTGCCCACAAAATGAGGTGGAAACTGAGCTATTTTGATAAACTCCCATATCTATTGGGTGAAATACCACAGTGTGCCGTAACAGCAAGAAATGTGACCTATTGCCACAAGAAAAGGGCAACCAGTGAAGAACAAACACCATTGTAAATACAACCCATATTTATGTTTATTTATTTTCCCATTTGTACTTTAACTATTTACACATTGTTACAACACTGTATATACAGTGGTGTGAAATAGTGTTTGCCCCCTTCCTGATTTGTTATTTGTTTGCATGTTTGTCACACTTAAATGTTTATTTTCCCTTTTGTACTTTAACTATTTGCACATCATTACTACACTGTATATAGACATAATGACATTTGAAATGTCTATTCCTTTGGAACTTTTGTCAGTGTAATGTTTACTGTTTATTTTTTATTTCACTTTTCTTTATTATCCATTTCACTTGCTTTGGCAATGTAAACATGTGTTTCCCATGCCAATAAAGCCCTTTGAATTGAACTGATAGAGAGACGAGAGAGACAAACAGAGAGAGAGAGACCGAGAGAATGCTTTAACTGCTGCTCTGTCAGCTTTTTGGAGGGGATAGCACAACAAAACAAATGCTAATAATTAATAAACAAAATCTATTGACGGACACGTGCGTCAATCTAAGTAACATAATAAAAAAATCCCCATAAAAACCGGTCAGTTTAAGCTAGAGATATGTTTTTTTGCATGGGCTGCGTCTCCATCCACCGCATCCACCTATGTCGGCCTTCCGCATCTGCGTAGAAGGTGACCAAGCTACATCGGTGTTTCTTTCTTTGCAGCAATTCGACCATGAAGGCCTGATTCACGCAGTCTCCTCTGAACAGTAGCTGTTGACATGTGTCTGTTACTTGAACTCTGATGTGCAATCTGAGGTGCAGTTAATTGCCGATTTCTGAGGCTGGTAACTCTAATGAACTTATCCTCTGCAGCAGAGGTAACTCTGGGTCTTCCTTTCCTGTGGCGGTCCTCCACGAGAGCCAGTTTCATCATAGCGCTTGATGGTTTTTGCGACTGCACTTGAAGAAACTTTAAAAGTTCTTGAAATTTTCCGGATTGACTGACCTTCATGTCTTAAAGTAATGATGGACTGTCGTTTCTCTTTTCTTATTTGAGCTGTTCTTGCCATAATATGGACTTGGTCTTTTACCAAATAGGGGTATCTTCTGTATACCCCCCCACCTCGTCACAACAACTGATTGGCTCAAACGCATTAAGAAGGAAATAAATTCCACAAACTAACTTTTAAGAAGGCCCACCTGTTAATTGAAATGCATTCCAGGTGACTACCTCATGAAGCTGGTTGAGAGAATGCCAAGAGTGTGCCAAGCTGTCATCAAGGCAAAGGGTGGCTATTTGAAGAATCTCAAATACAATGAATATTTTGATTTGTTTAACACTTTTTTGGTTACTACATGATTCCATATGTGTTATTTCATAGTTTTGATGTCTTCACTATTATTCTACAATGTAGAAAATAGTAAAAATAAAGAAAAACCCTCTATATGTTATACCTAAAGGGGTCTAATATTCTAAATCAATTACCTAAATGATCCAGGGTATGAACATCTTAAAACAATTCCATATGTTAGCTTAGTAGGTTTTACACAGAAAAAATATATTGCACACACAATTCATCTCTCCAAACTGTTCTTCGTCAAAATGCAGCACCTCCATTTTGAGCAGTGGAAAGTAAATCCCCCTGCAGTCAACAAAGCGTGGAAATATTATTCTTGAGCTGGTTGGAAAACAAAACGAATGGAAATGATTCCTGACCTGCACTTCACTCCAGTAATGTGTGTGCTCCTGCCTCGTTTAAAGAGTTAAAGTGGAGAGATTAACCTCAGAGTGGAAAGTGGGGCAGCAGCAGGAGGAGGAGCAGGAGGCTCTACAGACCAGAGGGGCTTATAGGAGGGCTGGGGACTGACTGTGTCATGTGTGGCAGGCAGCAGTGGCACAGTGACTCTAGTGTATTTGGAGAACTGAGTGAGTGTAAAAGACCACTGGGGAAGGTGAAACCAGATTAACTAAAACAGCAGCCCTCATGGACAACTCTCTCCCTGTCCTACCAATACACCCTGCTCAACTCTCTCCCTGTCCTACCAATACACCCTGCTCAACTCTCTCCCTGTCCTACCAATACACCCTGCTCAACTCTCTCCCTGTCCTACCAATACACCCTGCTCAACTCTCTCCCTGTCCTACCAATACACACTGCTCAACTCTCTCCCTGTACTACCAATACACCCTGCTCAACTCTCTCCCTGTCCTACCAATACACACTGCTCAACTCTCTCCCTGTCCTACCAATACACACTGCTCAACTCTCTCCCTGTCCTACCAATACACACTGCTCAACTCTCTCCCTGTCCTACCAATACACACTGCTCAAATCTCTCCCTGTACTACCAATACACACTGCTCAAATCCCTGTACTACCAATACACCCTGCTCAAATCTCTCCCTGTACTACCCAATGCTCAGCTCAATCCGATAGTGATCAGAGCCACAAGTGTGAACACGTTCTCTGAAGTGCATGTCCCCCACATTCTGCTTGTAGGACGGAAATCATGACTGAGTCTTTAGATTTGTATGAAAAGAAACTAAAGCGAGTACAGAACTCAACGGACACATGGTAACAGAAGCCATGGGGTGTCCTTAGTTCCAAAGACACCTATCCTCCATTATAAAAGAGGCTTTATATAAACTGACAGTGTAGAAGAAGAAGAAATGGACTCTGGAAAATAATTATAGAGAATAGTACTTATAGATCTAAGTATGACATCATCGCACTATGAAGGTCACTATGAACTGACCTTACAGACAGCATAAGGCAACACAAAATCAGAGCTGAGTTCGTATACTACAATATGGTATAAGAAATTCCACTCAATCACACATACCTACATGCAGAGCAAATTAAAAGTGAAATAACACGGTCATTGACCGCAGCCTTACTCATATTGAACACATTATTTATTCCAGAACATGTCCCACTTAACCAAACAACAAGGGTAATAGGCTCTTTTAAGTTGAGCACCTGTCAGGAGGCTAGTGCTGCATTCTACTGGGTTCCTCTGGGAACTATTTCCCCCCCAGGTCCCTTTAAATGGACAGACCAACAGATGTGCATGGGGGCCAAGAAAGAAGGAAGCCACTTCTAAAGGAGCCATAAAGACTTAACCTGTTCCCAGATCTGTTTGTGCTGTCTGGCCAAGTCCTATCTATGGTGGTTGTCATGACAAACAGCACAAACAGGTCTGGGACCAGGATAATAAAGATTCACTGGGCCCCATAGCAAGAGTCTTGACTGACTTCATCAACGCAGTCTATCAGTGAAGCTTGTTACCTAGCATACCATAGTACGGTTTTTTATTTCACCATTGACCATTTGCTGACCTATGGTGGACGCTGAGTACACAAGAGAAAAAAAGCATTTCAGCACAATCATCCTAAATTGTCATAAGAAATTAAGTGGTGTTTTTGGTCTAACAGTAGCCTAACATTATCTATGCTATTATATTCGGTTTGTTATGTAGAATACGAATGAATCATTAAGTGATCTTATGAGACACCGCACCATTCTGAGAAGTGGCGGAGTGTGCCTCCGCTGCTCACCGCCAGCACTACACCCCTGATTATAATGGTTAGATGACTTCGGGAGTTTCACGTTACCACAGCTCTACAAACTAAATGGCGCATTCAGTTGACAACCATTTTTTTTTACAGCAGCGCAAAAGTTTTGGGGCTGACCCAAAATCATTCAGGCTAAAGACCCAAAGGTCAGGTCCTGGTGATGTCCATGTGCAAGGTTATCACCATGAGACTGACTGGAATACAGCGTATTAACTCCCTCAAATCATAACAGCAGAAGTCAGCTACTAACAACTATAGGGAAAATAGTTTGTTGAGTCTAATCACACCCCATCAAGGCCAATACTTACTGTCTGTGGGTTCATTTTCCCCGTCATCAAGGACAGCAGGTCTGCGTCTGACATGGCAATGGTGCAGTTTGCTTTCTTTGCTAGAAGGGGGGACGGAGGAGAGGAAGGAAGAGAGAAATACAGAAAGAGATTGAGAAAAAAAACACATGGTTATTGATCATAAAATACTGTAAATTAAAAACCACAAAAATCATGACACAGCCTGTGAAAATACAACTTGATTTTTTTCACTACATATGTTTCTTTGTGAATTCAGCTTTTTACATTCTCACTCTCAATATGGACCAAACCGCTATTTCTGACCTGTCGTTGTGGATGCAGCCCTTGCTGTTCTTACCTGTGTCATTGTGAACGCAACCCTTGCCATTCTTCACGTCTACTATCCAGGTCGCCTCCTGACCATCCGGACCATCCTTCACCTTAAAGGCAAACACCCCTCCGATCTTCTTCACAAATGACTCCCCATCCTACAGAGAAATACAAGGTATTAGAAGTCATAACAATTAGGATCATAAGTACTGTGTTCATCAATCAAAAGCGGTTTCTATTATCATGTCATGTCTGAAGACGGTTATAAATATTCTTATTCATCCCAGACATAACATTTCACATCCAGTTAAACCATTTTTTTAATCCATGTGCTTTATAAAATCAATAAAAGAACAAAGCATTCACTGAAACCACACTGAAAACACAGACACTGAAAAAACACACTGATAAATACACTGAAAACAGACACTGAAAGCACAGACACTGAAAAAACACACTGAAAACACAGACATGCTACTCATACATTCACGATCAATTAGGCTACTGGACAACTATTTTCTGAACATGTGTAACAAGGAATAGGACTTTTTTTTATTTCTGTAATTACATATTCTCACAGTACAGATGGGTTTCAATATTGTATTAATCTGTGGATAATCACATACATAGCAGTGGAATAACATAATACCAAAACACAGTGAGCGATCCTAATGGGAACCAGATAGCACCACTCCACTGCTGCCAGACAGACTTACACAAGGATGGAAAATCTAAAAGTAGGACAACAGAGGAAAACCTCCTTGAGTGGAGATGACGTCGCACATCCTGAGTCAAAAGAGTTGCAGATTGGTTTAGTTACGTTTAATTCTGTCTATATATGTTTAATAGACATCTAGTTGTGTATTTTAGACCCAACAGACTGCTGTTTGCTGATGGCTTGGCTGAGTTAAGGCGAGAGACCAAGAGAGAGAGCGAGAGAGAGAAAGAAAGTGAGAGACAGGAAGCGAAAGAGCTTGAGTGACAGAGGACGAGAGAAAGCGAGAGAGAACGAGAGAAGAGGGGGAGAGGGAAAGAGAGAAAAAGCGAAAGCGTGACAGAGAGCGCCAGAGAGAGAGCTCTGTCATCATCCAGCTTGTGATGTTTATAGTAGTAAGGAGGTCAGAAACAGAGCAGCTGCAGATGAACACACAATTTAGAGTGCAGAACCATTTATCTGATTGATTCAAAACAGCATAACAACTTATATCATAAGCTAGGTTTCCATCCAATTGGCGACAGATTTTCATGCGAGTATTCTAAAATCCGCATGAAAACAATGTGCATTTTCCCACCAGAGATGTTTCCATCAAATTGACTTGTCGCAGATGAAAGACTGTGCGTGATGACATAGTGCACATAAAAATACCTTTTGCGGGTAACTTCCCATGTACCGAATAAAAAAATACTAGTTAAATGGGTTTCCATCGCATTTTCAACTCTACTGATGTTTTTCCTCACAAAAAAATGTTCCGTTACATAGCAAGTGTGCCCACTCCGGTATTGGCACGTGCGTTCTAGCCATGCACGCTGTTGGCTAGAGCGCAAGTATAGCCTACATGATTATTTTGTCATATGGCAGCCAAGCATCGATTATCATGTCACCAGAATAAGACCCTCGATATTTATTAGAAAGGAGCATCAAGCTCATCACCTTGCACTTTCACCACCCTGTGAAGTTCATCATAACTTATTTCATCTGCAGCCTATTAAACTGCATGCTTTCACGATGAGTCGTAGTGGGAAGACCATGCAACATGTCATCTCGTGACTCCAAGTTTACGTCCGTATGGTTTTTATATCAATATTTGCACGTAAAAGCGTTTCTCGCATAATTCATTTCACCGACACAAAAATATCCCACCTTGTCTAGCATATTTTCTTTTGTCGACATCAGGCCTGTCATTACATTTTTTTTATCCAACATGGATGGAAACCTGGTTATTGTATGACATGGAGGGGAAAGCCTGTTTCCGGGAATGGATCCAAGTGTGCTACAGTCGAAGTCGAAAGAGAGTCTATTGGAATGGAAATGTTTCTCTTCATGTAGGATCAATGGGTTGTTTTCAATAAAACGTCACAATAAGGTGTAGCGTGTTCGATTTGCCTGCTGGGGAGCAAGGAGACCCACAGCTCTGCTAAAACCATTGACAACTTTGTGCCGTTTTCAAGGGCCTTAAATGTTAACTATTTGTTTGTAATATCATCACCTCTTGAAGAGCATAGCTAGACCTACACATTTCTGATTATTCTATGCAAAACAATTGCGCACATTTAGATCAGTTATACAGCACGTAACTGCATACTTTTCATGATCTGTAAACATCAATTGATCATGTAATTTCAGATATGTGAGGGTAGCCTAAAGATATCTCTCAATATTGGCCACCATTAATTTGATATTTTTTTTATATACACTACCGTTCAAAGGTTTGGGATCACTTAGAAATGTCCCTGTTTTCGAAAGAAAAGCAATTTTTTTGTCCATTAAAATAACATCAAATTGATCAGAAATACAGTGTAGACATTGTTAATGTTGTAAATGGCTATTGCAGCTGGAAACAGCTGATTTTTAATGGAATATCTACATAGGTGTACAGAGACCCATTATCAGCAACCATCAGTCCTGTGTTCCAATTGTGTTTGCTAATCCAAGTTTATCATTTTAAAAGGCTAATTGATCATTAGAAAACCCTTTTGCAATTATGTTAGCACAACTGAAAACTGTTGTGCTGATTAAAGAAGCAATAAAACTGGCCTTCTGGTGTTTTGGTGTTTTGCAGGTACTATTTCATGAAGCTGCCAGTTGAGGACCTGTGAAGCGCCTGTTTCTCAAACTAGACACTAATGTATTTGTCCTCTTGCTAAGTTGTGCACCGGGGCCTCCCACTCCTTTTTCTATTCTGGTTAGAGCCAGTTTGCGCTGTTCTGTGAAGGGAGTAGTACACAGCGTTGTACGAGCTCTTCAGTTCCTTGGCAATTTCCTTGGCAATTTCTTGGAATAGCCTTCATAGCCTTCATTTCTCAGAACAACAATCGACTGACGAGTTTCAGGAGAAAGATATTTGTTTCTGCCCATTTTGCGCCTGTAATCGAACCCACAATTGCTGATGCTCCAGATACTCAACTAGTCTCAAGAAGGCCCGTTTTATTGCTTCTTTAATCAGCAGAACAATTTTCAGCTGTGCTAACGTAATTGCAAAAGGGTTTTCTAATGATCAATTAGCCTTTTAAAATGATAAACTTGGATTAGCAAACACAACTTGCCATTGGAACACAGGACTGATGGTTGCTGATAATGGGCCTCTGTACACCTATGTAGATATTCCATTAAAAATCAGCAGTTTCCAGCTACAATAGCCATTTACAACATTAACAATGTCTACACTGTATTTCTGATCAATTTGATGTTATTTGAATGGACAAAAAAAATGTATTTCTTTAGAAAACAAGGACATTTCTAAGTGACCCCAAACTTTGGAACGGTAGTGTATTTTTTTTAAACCTTAATTTAAAACAGGGAGCCACCAGAGACCAGGGGCTCTTTCTGCTGCAATCTGGTAAATGGTGTCACCATAATCAAGAACTGGCAGGAATGTTGACTGTACAATCTGCTTCCTGCTATTTAGGGAGAGGCAAGATCTATTTCTAAAAAAGAAGCCCACTTTAAATCTTAGCTTTTTAACTAGCTCATCCATATGTTTTTTTAACATTAAGTCTTTGTCAATTCAAATGCCCGATATTTGTAGGCGGGAACCTGCTCAATGGGAGAACCATCCAACAAATAAATATGTAGTCCATCTGAAACAATTAAGTGATATAAAATAAAAGTGAACTATACCTGACAACTATGAGTGGTTTAGGTTAATTTCCCATCTTTTGTGGGCTCTGCCTGTCTAGCAGCAGAAGGGCACATTTGCCGTGGTACTGTTAGCTGATAAAGTTTTACTTTGCAATCTACCTAATCTCTGATGAAGCAAGCTAAATGATGTTAGCTTAGCTAGCCACATGTCAAATGGATGGGTACCTTCACGTATCTGAAATTACATGATCATTGATGTTTACTGATCATGAAAAGCATGTATATTGAACAAAAATATAAAAGCAACATGCAACAATTTCAAAGATTTTACTGAGTTACAGTTAATAGAAGGAAATCGTTCAATTGAAAAAAAATGTTTTAGGCCCTAATCTATGGATTTCACATGACTGGGAAGGGCGCAGCCATGGATGGGCTTAGGCCCACCCACTTGGGAGCCAGGTCCACCCACTGGGGAGCCAGGCCCAGCCAATCAGAATTAGTTTTTCCGCACAAAAGGGCTTTATTACAGACAGAAATACTCCTCAGCCGATCCCACAGGTGAAGAAACAGGATGTGGAAATCCTGGGCTGGCGTGGTTAGACATGGTCTGCGGTTGTGAGGCCAGTTGGATGTACTGCCAAATTCTCTAAAAACGACGTTGGAGGCGGCTTATGGTAGAGAAATTCACATTCAATTCTCTGCCAACAGTTATGTTGGACATTCCTGCAGTCAGCATGCCAATTGCACACTCCCTAAAAACTTGAGACATCTGTGGCATTGTGTTGTGTGACAAAACTGCACTAACACTTTATATGTTGCGTTGATATTTTGTTCAGTATAGTTATAACTATATTTAACAATCCCTTGAAAATGGCATGTAGCTGGGGGTCTACTTGGCCCCCAGTAGCCAAATCGAACGTATTGTGATGTTTTATTGAAAACGACCTATATAATTAACCCTTATACTATGGCTGTAGTGTGGAGGAAATGGTCTGAGGTAAAGGATCAGAAAAGAGGTCTAAGCATGTTGGTGTGAAAACAGGATGAGGGTTTGTAGCATAAACTGCAATAGATGACACCTGAAACAGATAACACACAGTAATGAAGGAAGATACCTCCTCCAGCTTCTTGTTGATCTCCTGGAAGACTGCATGGGCCTTGAACCCCTCCAGGCTGCGCTCTGCATTGGTGTTAACTGACTGGATCCTCTGAGAGCTGAGACACACACCGAGAGAGACCACACACACACACACCAAGAGAGACAACACATTATTGACAGCATAACAGGAGGCATGCCATACATAGCCTGTGAGGTACAACTATAACAAGACAATTAGGATTATTCAGCAGGAGAAAATAGAAATAGCATGATAGTCTTGAAAACCCGACGCTAGGCAACAGACTACTAGGATGTGGGTAGATTACACAGGCTTACTAAGAGTCCTCATAAGGCTCTTGCCACAGTCACAACATGATGGTGTTGCACTGTAAACCATGTCTGTCAACTGGTCTAATTATCAGTGACTAATCTGAGCGCAGTTAAAATGCAGATGGCATGTTTAATGTAAATTGTACAAAAGGGTTGGCTCTAATTTGACTACATAACTAGACTTATCTGTAGCTTTAGCCTACATCTAAATGCAATATGATGAATGTAATGCCAGTGGGTTAAAATTAATAACCTGCAAGCAAATTGATAAATAAAGTTGTATTCTATTCCTATTGAATCCATGTCAGGTTGGCAAGAGTTTTTATCTCGGGTGGTGTGATTTTCCGGTTAGTATTGCACAAGTCAGGTGTTAGCACAGCAGTAAGCTAACTTCTAACAGTTATGTCATTGTTTTCAATGAGCTAACTATCAAGCTAGCTTAGCTAACGTTACACCCTTGCAAATTCACAAGGGTGACCCGACCCAGATGAATACTCCGAGGTAACGAGTGGCAATTAAATGGCTGTGATAATTTTACTAACCCCAAGTATCTCACCTTACAACCTGTGATTCGCGCATTTTGTTATGTGAAACAACCATTGTTCAAAGAGGCCGATACAGCTGGTGTGCAACTCAGCGTGCTGCTGTGAACATATAGATAGATAGAGGACTCAACTTTGTATCTGTGCCATTTTAGCGTCTGTGATAGCATTGCCAGGAATCCCTCTGGCTGTTCTGTTTTTTTGTGTTTTACATGTTACTGTTAAATAAATAAAAATTCAAAATAAATGTTTAAAAGACACCATTGCCAACGCCATTGAGGCAATCTCCATTTTAAAGTAGTACATTTTCTTCTTCATGATTGGCTGATCCCTCCTGATGACCCGGTTGGACATGACTCCACCAGGAGGGATCAGCCAATGAAATTGGAAGTACCACCCGGTTAACTACATTAAAATGGTGGAAGCCCTCAATAGCGCTGCCCATACTGAAACTGTCTTTTGGCCACTAGAGGCCTCTATCATTCTCTATGGTTGTGAAACAACTTTTTAGCTACCCGGAATTCCTTATTTATGCTGCTATGCAAGACAGTACCTGTCGATAGCAGAGAGGGTGATGATTTGATATTTAGTGCAGCACTCTACAGTTCGCTGGAGGTAAAGATTGTTCATCTACAATTTCAACAAAAAATGTTTTGCATGAACAGCAAACAATTCTTTGCATGAACAGATTTGAGCTATTCAAATCATACATGTTCAATACTATTCTGGCGTAAACTCCTAATTTCACCAATGATAAGCGTTGCTATGTTTAGGACATATGCATTATTTATTTCACTGTTGTTATGTGTCTGACGCACTAATGTATATTGTTTCTGAATGTGTGCTTATTACAAAAGGCACCAATGATCATCATCATCCTCACGTTCTAATTTAGGCCTACATCTAAAAAAAATCAATTATCACATTTATTCACTAGAGACAACAACTTTTGTTCAACTTGTAGGATGTTGGTATATAGTGGATCAAGGTCTAATGAAAGTTTAGTTGGTTGTCACAGAACCAGCCAACCAAATATTGAAATAGAGCAAATGTGTAGTACACACTTAGGAAAAAATGGTTCCAAAACGGTTCTTTGTGGAGGGATAGGGTTCTACCAAGAACAGTTTTGATCTAAATAACCCTTTTTGGAAGACAAGGGTTATTTGTAAGGCAAAGGGTTCTACCTAGAAACTTTAACATCCTAAGAACCATTTTTGGAAGAAAGGGTTCTTTGATGATTCTTTGGAAGGCAATAAGGATTCTTTGGAAGGCAAGAAGGATTCTACATAGCCATATATCATATTTCCCAGCATGCTCTATTGCAGGGTGATTTTCAGATTTGTTTATTTTAATATCTGTGTTTTTGCATGTACATTGATTGGTTGATTAATTTTATGCTACACAAAGATAGATAACATACATTTTTCTAAACTAATCTAATCTGTTAGTAGTTGGATTTATTGCACCCATTACTGGGATGGTTATCCATTTTAGATGATTGAGGTAGTCTTAGTATTCAATCTTCCCTACCCTGGCAGTCATTCTGAATGCAGGTTTCGGGTTATAAAAAATTACACTTGTTGAATATCCTAACTCTGGATTCCAATAAGAATTACACATCACTTTGCAAGCCAGCATAATGTGATTTGCAGGCCTGGTGTGGCCTGTAAACCATGAGTTTCCCAACACCATTGTGTTAGGGTATAACTAGGCCCCAAAGAAAGGCCTTATGATCTATGTAATTATTGTCATTAAAAAAATCATTGTAAAGGCTGGTAGAACCGTTCATTGTCGGTTCTAGGAAGAACCCTCCAAAGATAAAATGGTTATCGGTAGAACCATATACAGGGGGTTCTATGAAGAACCCTACATAGAAGGTTCTAGGTAGAATCCTTTGCAAAGGGTTCTTCTACCTAGCACCAAAAAGGGTTTATTTTTTATTTGTATTTAATTAGGCATGTCAGTTAAGAACAAATTCTTATTTACAATGATGGCCTACCAAAAGGCAAAAGGCCTCCTGCGGGGACGGGGGCTGGGATTAAAAATAAAAATTATAGGACAAAACACACGACAAGGGAGACACCACAACACTACATAAAGAGAGACCTAAGACAACAACATTGCATGGCAGCAACACATGACAACACAGCATGGTAGCAACACCACATGACAACAACATGGTAGCAACACAACATGGCAGCAGCACAACATGGTAGCAGCACAAAACATGGTACATACATTATTGGGCACAGACAACAGCACAAAGGCAAGAAGGTAGAGACAACAATACATCACTCGAAGCAGCCACAACTGTCAGTAAGAGTAAGAGTGCCCATAATTAAAAACAAAGGTGTCATTGTACGCTGATGATTCATGTTTTCTTTTAAATCCACAATTTGAGTCCCTCCACAGCCTCATAGAGGATCTAGATACATTTTCTAACCTCTCTGGATTACAACCAAATTATGATAAATGTACTATATTACGTATTGGATCACTAAAAAATATAAAATTTCGATTACCATGTAGGTTACCAATAAAACGGTCTGATGGTGATGTGGATATACTCGGAATACATATCCCAAATGAAATAAATGATCTCACTCCAATACATTTTAATAGAAAGTTAGCAAAAATAGATAAGATCTTGCTACCATGGAAAGGTAAATACCTGTCAATTTGTGGAAAAATCAGCCTGATTAACTCTTTAGTATTATCCCAGTTTACCTATTTGCTTATGGTCTTGCCTATGCCTAGCAAACAGTTTTTTAAATTATATGAGAAAAAAATATTCAATTTGATTTGGAACGGCAAGCCAGACAAAATTAAACGGGCCTATTTATATAATGAATATGAATTCGGAGGACAGAAATGATTAAATATTAAAGCATTAGACCTATCACTAAAAGCTTCAGTCATACAAAAGTTATACTTAAATCCGAACTGGTTCTCTAGCAAATTAGTAAGATTGTCTCACCCAATGTTCAAGAATGGCCTTTTTCCCTTTATTCAGATTACAACCTCTCACTTTGTTATTTGAAAAGAAAATCATCTCCCAAATATCACTATTTCTATAACAAGCCATAGAAAGTTGGTTGCAATTTCAATAAAATCTTCCAGAAACGACAGAGCAAATAATGCAACAAATATTGTGGTTAAACTCAAATATACTAATTGATTAAAAAAACTTTTTTTTTTACAAAATGTTTTAAAAAGGTATAATCTTCGTAAATGATATCATCGGTAGGACTGGTGGAGTTATGTCAAACATGCAGCTAACAAAAACATATGGAAATGTCTGCTCTACCCAAAATTACAACCAAATAATTGCAGCATTAACGCAAAAATGGAAGAGGAAAGTGGAAGGGGGAAAAAGTAAGGAACTTGTCTGTCGGTCTTGCATTAAAGAACATAATTGGTTAAAGAAAACTGTGGTAAATAAAAAAGTATACCAGTTTCATTTAAGGACCAAAGGATTGACAGCCGTCCCATATAGATTGCAAAATAGTTGGGAAGAGATTTTTGACGTACCGATCCCATGGCATAGTGTTTATGAACTGATACGCAAAACGACGCCGGATTCAAAATGTAGAATTTTTCAATTTAAATTATTATATAAAATTCTTGCTACCAATAGAATGTTATTTATATGGGGGATACAGTCTTCCCAGCTCTGCAGATTTTGCTGGGAAGAGACAGAATCATTAGATCATTTGTTTTGGTACTGTCCATTTGTAGCTTGTTTTTGGACACAGGTCCAGGAATGGCTAAAGGATTGCAATATTTACCTGAAGCTAAATATGTATTTGGTCACCTACAAACAAGCAAGATTTCTGGCTCTTACAGACCTGTAACTTCTTCTTTAAGAGGCTCCTCTGTCCTCCACTCGTTACCTGTATTAATGGCACCTGTTTGAACTTGTTATCAGTATAAAAGACACCTGTCCACAACCTCAAACAGTCACACTCCAAACTCCACTATGGCCAAGACCAAAGAGCTGTCAAAGGACACCAGAAACAAAATTGTAGACCTGCACCAGGCTGGGAAGACTGAATCTGCAATAGGTAAGCAGCTTGGTTTGAAGAAATCAACTGTGGGAGCAATTATTAGGAAATGGAAGACATACAAGACCACTGATAATCTCCCTCGATCTGGGGCTCCACACAAGATCTCACCCCGTGGGGTCAAAATGATCACAAGAACGGTGAGCAAAAATCACAGAACCACACGGGGGGACCTAGTGAATGACCTGCAGAGAGCTGGGACCAAAGTAACAAAGCCTACCATCAGTAACACACTACGCCGCCAGGGACTCAAATCCTGCAGTGGCAGACGTGTCCCCCTGCTTAAGCCAGTACATGTCCAGGCCCGTCTGAAGTTTGCTAGAGTGCATTTGGATGATCCAGAAGAGGATTGGGAGAATGTCATATGGTCAGATGAAACCAAAATAAAAACTCAACTCGTCGTGTTTGGAGGACAAAGAATGCTGAGTTGCATCCAAAGAACACCATACCTACTGTGATGCAAGGGGGTGGAAACATCATGCTTTGGGGCTGTTTTTCTGCAAAGGGACCAGGACGACTGATCCGTGTAAAGGAAAGAATGAATGGGGCCATGTATCGTGAGATTTTGAGTGAAAACCTCCTTCCATCAGCAAGGGCATTGAAGATGAAACGTGGCTGGGTCTTTCAGCATGACAATGATCCCAAACACACCGCCCGGGCAACGAAGGAGTGGCTTCGTAAGAAGCATTTCAAGGTCCTGGAGTGGCCTAGCCAGTCTCCAGATCTCAACCCCATAGAAAATCTTTGGAGGGAGTTGAAAGTCTGTGTTGCCCAGCGACAGCCCCAAAACATCACTGCTCTAGAGGAGATCTGCATGGAGGAATGGGCCAAAATACCAGCAACAGTGTGTGAAAACATTGTGAAGACTTACAGAAAACGTTTGACCTGTGTCATTGCCAACAAAGGGTGTATAACAAAGTATTGAGAAACTTTTGTTATTGACCAAATACTTATTTTCCACCATAATTTGCAA